TTGATCTCCTAAGATTTTCTTTTGATTATTTATGAGGAGGTTTTTCAAAAGAAATCATGCCTTTTGGTATTCACATGATCTTATCTTTCATAATATGATTTTTATGTAATTTCTTGTATTCATGAAATGTTTATCTCATCACCCAATTAATTTTTCTTGATATTCTTCATGTGATGATATAAATTTATGCATAAGATACTCATGATATTATTTTGATGCTATGAAATGATATAAATTTTGTAAGCTTATGAGTATCATATATGCTATGATGGTTGATTTTTAGTATCATGGATAGAATAAGGATGATATGTAAAGTTTTAAAATTATGTATGTTTTAATTTGAAAATATAATGATGCATAAATAAGATTAATACTTTACCTTTGTCATGCTTTGAAAATTATTATAGAGGAAAAAAGAGATATAAAATTATATTCTTCCATTCTTTTTGACAATAACAAAGGGGGAGATAGCTAGCTTGCACAAGTCAAGAAAATGTAAAAACTTGCAACTTGTACAATTGCTAAAGAAAGCAAGAATCGCTAGCTTGAACACTTAAACAAGAAAGCTATCTTGTATTTACTTTCGAAATATTGCTAGCTTATATTTTTTAAAATGATATAAGAATTTGCTAGCTTGCATGATATAAAACTTGTTATCTTGAATATTACCCAGACTTGCTAGCTTTCAATCCCAAGAGAAGCAACATTGCTATCTTGAACTTGCTAATTTACACATTTTGCTTATCTTAAGAAGCAAAATATGCAAATTTACACATCTCTAATTACTGCTAGCATGCATAATGTAGAACTTGCTATCTTGAACAACACCAAGACTTACTAGCTTGCATAATGATAAAACTGAAAATTATATTTATTATGTAATGATTTAAACTTGAATTTCTAAACGTATGAGAATTGAACTTCTCATTTTTGTTGATGACAAAGGGGGAGAAGTATGATCATGTTATGCATAATAATGTGTTGCAAATATTCATGATGAATATTTACAATAACTTGAATTCGGTTTGAATTCAAGGTTCTATCAATATGGCATATTGATAGGGGGAGTTTGTTTAAACTCCGGGAGTTAAGGTTAACTCCGTCATCAATTGATTATCATAATCAAAAAGAGGGAGATTGTTGAATCTCGGATTTTGATGATGAAACAAATTAATAAGTGTTTATGATTTGATCTGTGTTTTTAGTGATGCAGGATACTTCGATCAAGATGAGACAATTAAAGTAGGAAAAATCATGTTGGGCCAGAGGAAAACATGTCAGAAGATTGTACGTCGAGCCGGTGGATCAGTCGATGTATCGACAGAAGGCTTCGGACCATGGATTCGGGTATCGAGTCAAGAAGAGCGGATATTGCACCAAGGATATCAGAGTTGTGGAGTCAAATGGCTGATTGGGCAATAGGCCATAAGAGAGGACGATGCACCGAAGAATCGAACGAAGCGTCGAGGGACCAGCAGATCGAAGTGTGTTTTATATATGCAGGATCAACTACGATAGCAAGGCATGAAACAAAATGAAGTCCTGGAGTTAAGGACGTGATTTTGTTGAGAGTTCGAGAGTTCATCGGAAGTTCTGTAGGAACCAGCAGAGAAGTCTCAGAGCTTACCAAAGAAGCTCATCGGAACTCGCCAAGAAGATCATCATGAAGTCTAGGAGCTTACCAGGAGTCTGCTGGAACATTGCTAAGAGATCATCGGAAGTTCGTCGGAAGCTCGCCGGAAGAAACCAAGACATAGGGACTTGTTTAGCTTAGTAAATGTCTTAGATTTTGTAGTTAGCATATAATTAGACTTGGATTTGGGCCAACCCAATTAGGGGCCAACTGGGCCCATGTAAAAACTGTGTTGGGCCCAATAAAAAAGCTCAAATAGTGCCCCAAGAGGTAACACCGTCGTGGCACAATCTCCGAAATTGTGTTAGGCGATGGTATCGTCAGTCTGGGCGGTGGTACCATCCAAACACAACCTCCGAGAGGCTGTAGGCGATGGTATTGTCAGTCTGGGCGGTGGTACCACCTAGTGCAGTGTTAGTGTCAGACTGACACTAGCGGTGATATCGCCTAGCGCAGGCGGTGGTATCGCCCATGCCCAGGAAACCCGGGATGAGATATTTTTAGGTTTCAAGTTTGAATCAACTTGAAGCCTATAAATACCCTTCTCATCCCTAGTTAAAAAACATAAGCATAAAGAATTTAAAAAGGGAAAAACGCTGTAGAAATCTCTTGTGAGAATCCTCCTCTAGTCTAAGTGTTAGAATAGTTTGAGAGAGGAGTGAGTGCTTGTAAGGGTTATCTCCTAAACCTGGTAAAAGAAGAAGAGGGGTGTAAGAAGGAGGTTGATCTTTGCCTATTAAAGAAAGATCGATAGTGGATGCCGGTGGTCTTGACGAAAGAGGAATCAGCAGAGTGGATGTAGGTCATAACGACCGAACCACTATAAAATTGGCGAGTTCTCTAGTTTGCATTTACTTCCTGTAATTTACATTAACCGCAAACTGCCTTCAATACGCTCTTACTTCGCTTTCAAAGTTAAGCATTTTCGAGTTTGGTTTTATCGTAAGAAAGGATTTTCTAAAACCGATGTTTTTATCCACTGTACTAAACCCGATAAAAGAAAAAGAGGGGTGTAAGAAGAAGGTTGATCTTTGCCTATTAAAGGAAGATTGATAGTGGATGTTGGTGGCCTTTATGAAAGAGGAATCAGCAGAGTGGATGTCGGTCACGACGACCGAACCACTATAAAATTGGCGTGTTCTCTGGTTTATATTTACTTCCTGTAATTTACATTAACTGCAAACTGCCTTCAATACGCTCTTACTTCGCTTTCAAAGTGAAGCATTTTCGAGTTCGGTTTTATCGAAAAAAAAAATTTAAACTGATATTTTTATCCGCTGTACTAATTCACCCCCCCTTAGTGCCGACCTCTTTCCTAACAAAGACAACATAAGGTTTAATATAATATGATAATATTTTCACTAAATTAATTTTTTAGAAAAGTAATATGTAAAGTTAAGAAACTTATCACCATCTCTATCCGTCTTGTTATAATATGTGAAAATATTTATTTTGTATGTTATTTACATTTGTCAAATTTCAAGTGGGTTAAAATAATTTTATTTATCTCCATAGAAAATTATCTTTACGAGGAGGAGTTCGTGATTGGAAGCCGTTGCATTTGTCAAAAGGATTGAAATAATGGAGAGAGAGAGAGAGAGAGGAAATCCTGTACATAAAATGGAGAGGACACTTCAAGTTACACGTACGATTTTTTCGATAGAGCAATTCTCGTAGAACATCCATAATTATATGAAAAGTCTCTTTAACCCTTATAATATTTAAACAATTTTACCTATAGCCTCAGCCCTAGTAACGCCTCTATCCATGGTTAGCCGATCAACCTGTTTATTTTCACTATAGTCATTCATGACCCTAGGTAGGAGGGAACACAAGGGTTATGACCACCTCTACGAACCCTACTGACCTTCTCCCTTCTTGTGGATCTATCCATCGCCTTCTCCTTCTTTGAACTCATCTTCCTCCTCCTTTGTCAATGATTGTAAGCACAACAGTTATGCAAGGCACGAGGTAGAGGGGGATAGTTGGTGGGGTGGGGTGGAGGTAAAAGAATGATGAAGGATGATGACCGATAAGAATATAATTATTATTTATTAAAAAAAAAGATACTCTATGAATTTTTTTTTTAATTTAGGGTGTCCAAACCCAAAGTTATAGGTTTTTTTCCAAAAAATTATATATTTTCATATGCTTTATTTGTTTGAGAATTTAGAATTTTTTGCCATCCATTTTGGATCGTTAGGTCAAATGGACCCCTCAATTACAACTACGTGATTGACTTGATAAACATGGCACAACAATAAACGCTTTATTATGATTTCCATCATTGAAGTGGAACACATCAGATACAGAAAAGGGAACAACGTCCCTTTCAGATTTGTTGAAAGTTCAATTAAATCTTATATTCCAGACAATTTGATTTTGAGAGTCTTATCATAATTAAAAGTTTTATTAAGTTAAATTAGGACATGTTCTCAATATAAGCTTTGCAGGTGCTGCTGGAGAATATTTATATCGATGATGAATATAAATGGATTGGAGATTAATCCGATATTACAAAACCATCAAAAGAGACGGATGATGAATTGGGTCTACAGTTTTGATGAGTCATCCCCTCACAACCTCGCGACTGCCATTATTGAAAAGAATGTGTGAATTGATAAGACCACATTATTATTGACTCTAGAGATATAACAATAGAAAGACTAAGCATTTAAGCAATCGGAAACCCTCTTTAAAAAGACCATGTATTATTATTGACTCTAGAAATATAATATAAAAAGACTAAGCACTTAAAGAATTGAAAATGCCCCTTTAGAAATAATTAAAAAAATATAATTATAATTTTTTTATTTCAAACTATTAAGTATCGAACAAAAAATTCACTAACATCATCACATAATGTGAAAGGAGAAGACTACGTCAATAAGAAACATTGTTTTATGTGTTCCATCTCGTGTTTTTCTTTTAATTGAAAGATATTATGCTCACATATGAACCTCAATTTGACATCTATTACAACACTAACCAATCTTAATATATTATAATAAATGAACTTATAAAGTGTGTGTCATTGATAAATGTTTTTTATTATTTATTTCTTTAAAATCTTAATCAATTTCTATATATTCAAGCCATTCAATAATAGTATAAACGACTTTTATTATTTGAGTCATCAAGTTCCAAATCTACAAGTAAAACAAATTATAATCATGCCTAAATGTGTATGTCACGGGTAATCAACGTAGCTCCAAAGGAACCTTACAACTATGCCCACAATCTTATTATTCTAGTTTGACTTTGAGCTGTGGGGTTCCTTTCACGTAGTCGACCATCACCTTCGTCTTTATCTTGGTAGCTTATAAATAGTGCCCACTGTCCGAATACTGGCACTCCATAGCCGAAGATGGGATCGCTTCTTATTCTATCCTCCATGTCCCTGGTAATCTTGCTTCTCATTTGGAGCTACTTCCAAAGGGTCCCGCTTGGAGATAACCCATCAACCAAGGCGAGTGTCTCTCTGCCCTCGCCTACTGCGAAGCTGTACATTGTGGATCTTGGAGAAAGACGATACGAAGATCCACAGCTTGTGATTGCCTCCCACCATGATATGTTGTCTGCCGTGCTGGGAAGGTATACATTCTCCGTCACAATTCGCCGCCCCTGCTATTCTCTAAACTTTCCTTTGTGCGCTAAGGTTGGTTGGTCGGTGCACTTTGTGTCGTTTCAGCAAGGAAAAGGCTCGCGATTCAATTGTTTACAGCTACAAACATTGCTTCTCGGGCTTTGCGGCCACGCTCACGCCATCTCAAGCACGCCAAATTGCAGGTCCTTAGCATGCATTCTCGTACCGAAAACAGGAAAAAACTTGAATGAATCATAAGAGCTAGATAATAACTTTTAGTATTATGGGTAACCTTGAAATCGAGATCATGAAGGATCGATATCAAGCTTTCAAAAGCTTCTCTTATTGGCCATTGATATATGATCTATCGGTAGAGAAAAAAGGAAAGCACTAATCTGTATGATATGCATAGTTACAGTAATAATTCCATTTGTACTGTCGTTTTGGTGTTAGAATTGGCGGAGGTGATCAGTGTCAGTCCAAGCCGCACTTTTCCTCTCCATACCACGCGAAGCTGGGACTACCTCGGCCTACGGTATAGCCATCAGCAACCCACAGGACTACTTGAGAAGGGCAAGGAAGGCGATGGGATCATCATCGGAGTTGTCGACACAGGCAATTAAGCCGCATCTGTTCACCACTGATCGCCTAATTATATGTCACCGAGCATGTCAATGGGAGTTTTTCTTACATAGGCATCTGGCCGGAATCGAGAAGCTTCAACGACGATGGTTATGGCCCCGTCCCATCCCGTTGGAAAGGAACGTGTGAAATAGGCGTAGAACACCCCATCAGATGCAACCGCAAGATCATCGGTGCAAGATACTACAGTAAAGACGCCGACCCGTCTGAGGTCGCGCGAGACTACGACTCCCCCCGTGACGCCAATGGCCATGGAACACACACCGCTTCCACCGCAGCAGGTTCTCTGGTAAGCGATGCAAGCTTCCACGGTCTCGGTGCCGGTACAGCAAGAGGAGGCGCTCCTCGTGCGCGGCTAGCGATCTACAAGGTGTGCTGGGGATCAGGAAGATGCGGGGAAGCCGACGTACTACAAGCCATAGATGACGCGGTGGATGATGGAGTGGACATCTTGTCACTGTCAATCGGTGGGGATGGCTACCTTCCGGCTTCACTAGGCGCGGTAAGAAGTGGCATGACGGTGATCTTCTCCGGCGGCAATGACGGTCCCGTCACTCAAACATTAAATAACGACGTTCCATGGGTCATCACCGTGGCTGCCAGCACCATCGATCGCTCTTTTCCGACCGTCATAACCCTCGGAGACAAACAAACTGTGGTGGTATGCTGCGCAGATGTGTTGCATGCTCAAATTAAGGCTTGGCAACTTGGTCAAGTCATTGTTAATTGGTTTGCTGACGAAAAGCCTGCTGCAGGGACAATCGCTGTTCTATGACTCGGCGGATGTAGGATTCAAAGGCCTAGTAGTGCCTGCAAGGTAGATGCTGTCAATCACAACTCTGTTTCTCCCCTTTATTTATGTTCAGATGTTAATTCCGTCGTCCATTGTAGTTGCTCTGCAGAGGACATACATTCCAGATATGTAGTAGGCAAGATTGTGCTGTGCGCTGACAGTGGGCCTGCTGGGAACTTCGACGACGTTTTAGGAATCCTGCAGGGAGCCAAAGCCGCCGGTGTGATCTTTGGACGATTCCCACGCAGCAACCTCCTACCTTGCGAACGCTTCATATGTGTCCTGGTAGACAAAGATGTACACGAGCAAATATGGATATATGGTGAAAAGACGACAAGGTTTGCTTCCTAGATTTCTATTCCCGTTAACGCGTTGCAGCTAATTAACCACGGGTGGGTTACCACTGGCAGTTCTCCGGTGGTGAAGGTGAGCCCAGCCTTAACCTCGGCCGGGATTCCAATCACGTCGCCCAGGGTGGCAGCTTTCTCCTCCAGGGGGCCGAGTATATCTTATCCAGACCTGGTCAAGGTACGCCCACCCCGCATCCATGATCTCATTCTTGCATATATCTTCAGCTGGGACCAACAAAGAAACGTGCTAGCTTATTGTTGTTTACGTCCTTCGATCAGCCCGATATCACAGCTCCGGGAGTCAGTATCTTGGCCGCAGTGGAAGATTCTTATGAATTCATGTCCGGGACTTCAATGGCCTGTCCTCATGTATCTGGAGTTGCAGCTCTTCTCAAAGTAGTGCATCCGGAATGGTCTCCAGCTGCCATCAAATCAGCACTTGTCACTACCGGTGAGTAAA